GAGAGCTAATTGCGATTCTCTTCAAACTATTCCACAAAATTGAAACAAAAGGAACATTACCAAACTCAATCTCTGAGTCCATAAATACCTTGATACCTAAAGCAGAAAAAGACCCAACCAAAAAAAGAAAAAGAAAAAGAAAACTTCAGACCTATCTCTCTTATGAACATCGATACAAAAATACTCAATAAAGTACTTGCAAACAGAATCCAAGAACACATAAAATATGTCATCCACAATGACCAAGTAGGCTTCAACCCAGGTATGCAGGGGTAGTTCAATATACAGAAATCCATCGATGTAATCCACCATATAAACAAGCTAAAAGGGAAAAATCACATGATCATCTCCTTAGATGTGAAAAAAAAAAGCATTTGACAAAATCCATGTTCATGTTTAAAGTCTTAGAGAGATCAGAGATACAAGGCACGTACATAAACAGATAAAGACAATATACAGGAAGCATATAGCTAACATCAAACTAAACAGAGAGAAACTTAAATCAATCCCACAAGACAAGGCTGCCCAATATATCTGTATCTCTTCAACATAGTACTTGCAGTCCTAACTAGAGAAATAAGACAACTAAAGGAGATCAAAGGGATGCAGTTCAGAAAGGAGTAAGTCAAAGTATCACTATTCGCAAATGATAAGATAGTTTACATGAGTGACTGCAAAAATTCAACCAGTGAACCCCTGCAGCTGATAAAAAGCTTCATCACAGTGGGTAGATATAAAATTAACTCAAAAAAATTAGCAGCCCTCAAATATATGAAAGACAAAATTTCTGAGAAAGGAATTAGGGCAACTACACCTTTCAAAATAGCCACAAATGACATAAAGATCCTTGGTGTGACTCTGACCAAGCAAGTGAAAGACCTCTTTGAATAGATAGATGATAGATAGATAGATAGATAGATAGATAGATAGATAGATAGATAGATAGATAAATAATAAATACAACTTCAAGTCTCTGAAGAAAGAAATTGAAGAACATATCAGTAGATGGAAATTTCTCCCATGCTCACAGATCAGTAGGATTAAGATATAAAGAATGGCCATCCTGACAAATGCAATCCACAGATTTAATGCAATTCCCATCAAACTACCATCACAATTCTTTATAGAACTTGAAAGAGCATTTCTCAAATTCATATGGAAAACAAACAACCCAGAATTGCTAAAAAAAAAATCCTGTACAACAACTGATCGTTTGGAGGTATCTACATCCCCAATCTCAAGCTGTACCACAGAGCAATAGTAATAAAAACTTTGTAGAAACAGAATGATGGATCAATGGAATCAAACAGAAGAACTAAAAATAAACCCACATACCTACAGATATGAGATACTTGACAAAGACACCAGAGGCCACACAGTGGAAAAAAGGCAGCATCCTCAACTAATGGAACGGGTCTAACTGGATGTCTACATGTAGAAAAAGGCAAATAGATCCATATTTATCAACTTACACAAAACTAAAGTCCAAGTGATCAAAGACTTCAACTAAAAAAAACAAACTAATCTGTTAAAAGAAAAAGTGGGGAAGAGCCTAGAACTCATTGGCACAGGAGACAACTTCCTTAACAGAACACTAACAGCACAGCCTCTAAGATCATCAATCAATTAATGGGACCTCATGAAACAGAAAATTTCTGTAAAGCAAAGGACATTGTTATCAGAAAAAAAAATGACAACCTACAGACTGGAAAAGGATCTTTACCATCCTTATTTCTGACAGAGCGTTAACATCCAAAATATATAAAGAATTCAAATGTTAAAAAGCAATAAATCAAGTAATTCATTTAAAAATGCGGTACCAAGCTAAACAGAGAATTAATTCTTTGTAGAGGAATTCTGAATGGCAAAGAATCACTTAAAGAATTGCTCAAAATCCTTAGTCATCTGGGAAATTCAAATTAAAACTACCCTTGTATTTCACCTTACACCAATCAGAATGTCTAAGATCAAAAACTCAAGTGAGAACACATGCTGGAGAGGATGTGGATAAAGGGGAAGCCTTCTCCATTGCTGGTGGGAATGTGAACTTGTACAACTACTTGGGAAAGCAATCTGGCACTTTTTGAGATAATTAGGAATAGTGCTACCATGCTCTCTTTGGCAGCACATATACTAAAATTGGAATGATACAGGAATAGTGCTACCTCAAGATCCAGCTATACTACTCCGAGGTATATATCCAAAATATGCTCAAGTACACAACAAGGACAAATCGAAGCATCTTTATTCTTAACAGCCAGAATCTGGAAACAACCCAGTTGTCCCTCAACTGAGAAAAGGATACAGAAATTATAGTACATTTACACAACGTAACACTACTCAGTAATTATAAACAAGGAAATAATGAAAATTGTAAGCAAATGGTGGGAACTAAAAAAGATCATACTGAGTGAGGTATCCTGGAAGCAGAAAGATATGCATGATATATACTCACTTATAGTGGATATTAGACATAAAACATAGGATAAACATACTAAAATTGTACACCTAAAAAAGCTAAGTAAGAAGGAAGACCCTGGGTAAGATGTTCCATCCTCATACATTCAAAGGCAAATTGGATGCTCGTCAGAAGACAGAGAACACAGGGAACAAGAGAGGAGTCTACCACAGAGGGCCTCTGAAAGACTCTACCCAGTAGTGTATGAAAGCATATGTTGACACTTATAGGCAAACTTTGGGCAGAGTGCAGGGAATCTTATTAAAGAAGGCAAAAATGAAAGACCTGGAGGGGGCAGGAGCTCCACAAGGAGAGCAACACAACTAAAAAATCTGGCCCCAGGGTTCTTTTCTGAGACTTACCATCAATTCTCACTCTTGTGGTCACTGGGTCTATCTCCCTATCTTCACCTCAGTATGTTCTAAATTAACCTCCAGAAGGAAATAACAAGCCGAATTAAGCTGTTTCCTATATATAAGTCCTTTCATTATGTTGCTTAACCTCCAAGACAAAAGTCTAGAAAGACATTTAATTCCAGGATTTGAGAGGTAGAGACAGATGATCTCTTTGAGTTTGAAACCATACTGGTCTATACAGGAAGTTCTGTGATAGACAGTAGACAGGCTACATAGTGAGACCCTTTCTCAAAAAAGAAAAAAAAAACACAAATCACACTAAATAAACCCTTACTAGAACTTTACTCCCATTCCTTCACATATACCTATTTATAGTCTTCCAATTCCATAAGTTAGGTAATAGGCATCAATGTCTACACTTTCTGATAACTGACTCTAGACTAGGTTTCTCCCACACAATAAACATTCGTTTAACACCATGTCAGGAACTGTCTTGCAGGATCAGTCCTGTTATATAGTATAACCTTATTTTTAATTTACCTCAACAACTGGTATAGGTAGTCACCATTTTTCACCTAGATGTAATATTCACTCTCTTGGCTTTACTCTATTTTGACTTCCCTAAAACAAGTAAGTCAAGCTCACTTGCAATTTCCTATGATTAAGTTCTACCCTAGGAAGTACCAACAAAGTAGTCCAAAGTAAGAAGTGAGAGAAAGTCAAACATTTACCCTACTACTCTCTCACCACCTCAGCTGGAGTTCTAGCAATGGCTCCATTGTTTTCTCACTCTAGTACTTATTAGTTGAGTTGCCTTGCTGTCCATGATTTCATCTCCTGCTCAATCACCACTTTACTCTTTACTCTTGCTTCTTCAGAATTAGAGATACTAGCAGGTACCACCCACTTTTTGTTTCTTTTAATACTGCCCTAAACTCTATACATAATTCATTTTCTAAAGTATACTTAGTTAAACACTCTGAAAGATTCATCTGTTTGTCACTAACATTCTAACAGATAACCTTAATGTTCACTTCACTCAATATGCATTCAGAAAGGCAAACAGGATGGACATCACAGGAGGGGGAAAACAGGGAACAGGACAGGAGCCTACCACAGAGGGCTTCTGAAAGGCTCTACCCTGCAGGGTATTGAGGCAGATGCTGAGACTCATAGCCAAACTTTGGGCAGAGTGCAAGAAATCTTATGAAAGAAGTGGGAGATAGTAAGACCTGGAGAAGATGGGAGCTCCAAAAGGAAAACAACAGATCCAGAAAGTCTGGGCACAGGGGTCTTTTCTAAAACTGATACTCCAACCAAGGACCACTCATGGAGATGTCCTGGGACCCTTGCACAGAGGTAGCCTATGGCAGTTCGGTATCCAAATGGGCTCCATAGTAATGGGGACAGGGACTGTCTCTGACAGAAACTGATTTGACCTGCTTTTTGATCATCTCCCTGTGAGGGAGGAGCAGCCTTACCAGGCTACAGCGGAAGGCAATGCAGCCACTCCTGATGAGACCTGATAGACTAGGATCGGAGGAAAGGGGAGGAGGACCTCCCTTATCCCTGGACTGGGAGAGGGACACAGGTGGAGAAGAGGGAGGGTCAGATTAGGAGGAGAGGAGGGAAGGAGGTACAGGAGGGACACAAAGTGAATAAACTGTAATTAATAAAAATAATTAAATAAAAATTTGTTTTGATTTGACAAAAAAGAACATAGAAAATGTTTTAATTACCTTATAGACTAGACTTATTATAGTGTTTAGACTATAACAGATTTATCAAATATTTACTAATGAAGAAATACCTAACTCACTTAGAAGGACACTTTTTCTGTAACTGTTCAATTAAGAGATATTCTATACTTTGTGAGACATGATTTCTGACCCAATTCTTCAATTCTGTCACTATACCATGAAAGCAGCAATAAGCAATATGCAAATGAATTTAGATTCTAATAAAACTTTGTTTATAAGATAACGTTCAAATCAGATTTGTCTAAGAGGCTTAGTTTGCCAACTCCTGAAATAAAAACATTACAATGCACTCATAAAAGTACATATTTCATTTAAGCAAAATAAACATGACTTCTGACACATGAGTAAACACAGAGAAAAGACTTTTTCAAACAATTTTGAAAATATAAAATTTGCTTTATAATACTATTAGGGCATAAAATATACCTGCATGTCCCTTAAAATCCATTGCAAAAAGTGGAAAATCTTTTAGATTGAACTCCACTTTGGCACGCGTCACACCTTTGTTTTTTATTACAAATGCAATACTTTCTGTAGAGCCAATAAAGGTACCATTGAAATTAAATCTATTCTAAAAATCAAAAAAGAGAAATAATTAGGAAACAGAGTAATGCTTTACAAATATGTACACTCAATTTTGCATTTTTGTATTTGTCTAGGAGATTAAGTGTTGAAGAAATCTCTACAAAACTTTATCTTCCTCTTCTACCTGATCTTATAAATAAGATACCAAAACACATTAATCCTGCTCCTCTTCTTCAACCACTTTACTAGATTATATCTGTATGAAAATAATAACTAGTCAATGGTTATTTAGTTTTTAGACTTTTAGTTTCTCAAATCCTTCTCTTCAATAACTAAGTCACAAACTTCTCTCATATTTGACCTTCACACACTAACAACAGGACAAGGTTCACGATCATCAGCATTACTCATAAAGTTGTCCACGTCTTTTAGTGCCTCAAATTCTAGGATCATCTAAGCTCCTTTCTCATCCTAACACTTAATAGTCCAGTAAGTTCTATAATTTTTGCATTTCAAACTAATGGCAGATATTTCACACTGCATTTTTTAATCAGTGTCTCCATTGTCAAGAAGGCACTTCTCTAAATTTAATTGCCTAATAATGTGATATATCTATAAATAGTTCCGATAAATTATACCATGTAAGGATAACTTATTCCTTATACTAATTTGCCTCATGACATCACAATATCTGTTCACATATTTGACTATCCTAAAAATTAACAAGATTCATTTTCATATACATGCACACATGGTTGTATTCTTGCATGTGTCTAAATCTTTATGTTGCATTGGCTACTTACTGAGTAATTTTGAACTCTATCTCATGCACCAAGTATGTATTTTATCACAAGCCGCTCTAGGGTACATCATTATAGAATTGTTATATTATTACCGAAAGAAGCACACAGAAAACTAAAGGAACATACATAGTGGCAACAGTATCATAATATTGAGTAAAATACTTCATCAGTATCAACTTACTTACAAATACACTTAGAAATTTTAAAAATATATAATAAATACTTGACATTTTCTAAATATATGAACATTAGTTCTCCTATTTCTTCATTATATGCTCATTGAGTTAAAATATGTAAATTTTATTAACATGCAATCTAAGTTCTACAACTTTTACAACAGAGATCTTATATGCATTTTTAAAATTCAAAACAGCATAGTTGCTGTTATCATTATTACTGAGACACGAGTTTTATATGGAGTCCAGGCTGGTGTCTAATTTGTGTTTATTCTCCCTCAGGCTACTGAATGTTACAATTACAAACAAGCTATACCAAAAATGATGAGTAAATTATTTTTAAAGAAAACTATATATCTAAATTTCAAAATAATAAAGGCTTATTAATAAAGACATCAATATAAAGCCCTATCAGTCGCTCTGCTTTATAGTAATTTCTAAAGAATGTCCAAAATGGATTTAGCATGAATAAATAGAGTAATAAAAGCCACAACATTCAATATTTTCCATAAAGTTTTCCATATTAAAGTTAAAGACACTTTATCTTTTATGAGATTTGATTTTCTTTTCCTCTCCATTATTGAAATAGATTTTTTCACATATAATACATCCTAATTATGGTTTTCCCTCCCTCTACTACACCTCTGAGTTCCTCCCTACCACACCCTCCCATCTGGATGCACCCCCTATTTGTCTCATTAGAAAATAAAGGGCTTTATATGGGATAAAAATAATATAAAATAATAAATTATAGTAAAATAAGACAAAAACTAATACATCAGAATTAGATAAAATAAACAAACAGAATAAAAAGAGCCAAAGAATAGGCACAATAAACAGACACCCATTCATTCACACACTCAGAATCTCATAAAAACAATAAATGGGAAGCCATGATAGAAATGCAAAGGACCTGGTAGATCCAGACAGGCTCTCCCTCTGCATGCTGCCTCAATTTTCTGTCAGTTCATATATGTGTTGACAGTGTTGATTTAGAGATCCTTGTTTTCTTGGTGTCATCCATCTGCTCTTACACTGTTCATTTTCAAAAATCAGCACAGGCTAAATAGGCTAGATGAATGTTTACTGGTCTGTAGATCTCACATTTTCATCACTAAACAATAGGAATCAGAAACTAAAGTCTAATGCTAAAATTTTTGTTGGACAAATAAATTACAGACTGGTGCTGAGGTACTGAGATAGCCAGTTAAGCTCTTTAATCATAATATTTTACAGATCAGCACCATAATGGCACCAGATTATAAAACAATTGGAAGAAATAAGCAAAGTTGCAAGCAACCCCAAAAATAATAAAATAATTCTTACAGTGCAGGAGTTTTCAGAGGATAAGATGTTGATAACATCTTATAAATGTTAATAAGGGAGGAACATAAAGCCTAAATTGAATAATTAATGAGTTTCTTTGGGTAAATGGACCAGAATTCATCCTGTGAAATACTATTTTAAAAAGGAGGGGTATTATGTGTGTGTGTCTGTGTGTATGCACAGTATCAGCAGTTATCATATGTATGTGCACATGTGTGTGTGTCAATGTGTATGCACATGAATAGTAGTAAAACAAATTCTACTTATATATAGCTAATAATTTGAAAAACTGATGTCATTATAGTTTACAAAAAACTACATGGAAAACAGTGGAATAAGGTTGCTAATTATAGTGTGTTCAAATAAATAGCCAGTACACAGCAGTGAAGAAATATACAGTATAGTTTCATACAGGTTAAATCAACATTGGAAACACAATATTCAATTTAAGTAATTTTTCAAAGACTGCAAATACTTCATATGCTTAGAATAATTCACAACTAGACCAATTAAACCAATAGCTAAGCACACTTTCATGATAGGAAAAGAATCATCTCTTATGATGAGAAAATGAGATCATTTTCGTACTGTTACCTTTCTCAGGCCTAAGTTCAGTGTTTTATTCTTAAAAATTCAATATTCTATATCATCACTTACATTTATATTACCTAATTGAATATTATATTTAAAATTCCTACAATCAAAAATATTTGTAGACATTAATTGACAGACTAGGGACACAGCATAACTATCACAATCATAAATTAAGCAGACAAGCATGTGGCATACTCACAGGTGTGATTTCAACATCAGCAATTTCAACAGATCCACCAATCCTAAGATCTATTACATTTGCACGGTGAATAGCAACCTTATTTAGGAGAAATAGGATATTTTGTAGAAATTACAATAAAATACGATAATATTACATGAAAAATTACATGCCCTTTATATGTCTCCATATCTCTTCAACATAGTGCTGGAAGTCCTTGCTAGAGCAATAAGACAGTCGAAGGAGATCAAGGGGATACAGATGGGAAAAGAAGAAGTCAAATTATCACTATTTGCAGATGATATGATAGTATATATGAGTGACCCCAAAAACTCTACCAGGGAACTCCTACAGCTGATAAACACCTTCAGCAAAGTGGCCGGATATAAAATTAACTCAAAAAAATCAGTAGCACTCCTGTATACAAAAGACAAAAGGGCTGAGAAAGAAATTAGAGAAACAACACCATTCACAATAGCCACAAATGACATAAAGTACCTTGGCGTAACCCTAACCAAGCAAGTCAAAGACTTGTATGAAAAAAATTTCAAGTCTCTGAGAAAAGAATTAGAGGAAGATATGAGAAGATGGAAAGATCTCCCATGCTCATGGCTTGGCAGGATTAACATAGTAAAAATGGCCATCTTACCAAAAGCAATCTACAGATTTAATGCAATTCCCATCAAATTGCCAACACAATTCTTTACAGACCTGGAAAGAAAAATTCTCAACTTCGTATGGAATAACAAGAACCCGAGAATTGCTAAAACAATCCTCTACAATAAAAGATCTTCTGGAGGTATCTCCATCCCTGATCTCAAGCTGTACTATAGAGCAACAGTTATAAAAACTGCATGGTACTGGCATAGAAACAGAATGGTGGATCAATGGAATCGAACAGAAGACCCAGAAATAAACCCACACACTTACGGACACCTGATTTTTGACAAAGATGCCAAAACCATACAATGGAAAAAAGATAGCATCTTTAACAAATGGTGCTGGTCCAACTGGATGTCTACATGTAGAAAAATGCAAATAGATCCATACTTATCACCCTGCACAAAACTGAAGTCCAAGTGGATCAAAGACCTCAACATAAAACCAGACACATTAAATCGGCTAGAAAAAAAAGTGGGGAATACCCTAGAACTCATTGGTACAGGAGAAAACTTCCTGAACAGAACACCAACAGCACAGGCTCTAAGAGCAACAATCAATAAATGGGACCTCATGAAATTGAAAAGCTTCTGTAAAGCAAAGGACACCGTCATCAAAACAAAGCGACTGCCTACAGATTGGGAAAGAATCATCACCAACCCTCTATCTGACAGAGGACTCATATCCAATATATATAAAGAACTAAACAAGCTGAAAAGCAACAAACCAAGTAATCCACTTAAAAAATGAGGAACAGAGCTAAAGAGAGAATTCTCTGCAGAGGAATATCGAATGGCAGAGAAGCACTTAAAGAAATGCTCAACCTCATTAGCCATTAGGGAAATGCAAATCAAAACAACCCTGAGATTTCACCTTACACCCATCAGAATGGCCAAGATGAAAATCTCAAGGGACAACACATGCTGGAGAGGTTGTGGAGAAAGGGGAACCCTTCTCCACTGCTGGTGGGAATGTAAACTGGTACAACCACTCTGGAAATCAATCTGGCGCTTTCTCAGACAACTAGGAATAGCGCTTCCTCAAGATCCAGCCATACCACTCCTAGGCATATACCCAAAAGAGGCGCAAGTACACAACAAGGACATTTGTTCAACCATGTTTGTAGCAGCTTTATTTGTAATAGCCAGAAGCTGGAAACAACCCAGATGCCCCTCAACTGAAGAATGGATGCAGAAACTGTGGTACATCTATACAATGGAGTATTACTCAGCAATGAAAAATAAGGAAATCATGAAATTTGCAGGTAAATGGTGGGACCTGGAAAGGATCATCCTGAGTGAGTTGACCCAGAAGCAAAAAGACACTCACGGTATATACTCACTCATATAAACATACAATATAGAATAAACCCACTAAAAGCTGTACATCTAAACAAACTAAGCAAAAGAGAGGACCCTAACTAAAATGTTCAATCCCCATCCTGAAAGGCAAAGAGGATGTACATCAGAAGAAAACGAAAATAGGAAACAACCTCGGAACCTGCTACAGAGGGCCTCTGAAAGCCAGAAGAAAACAGGAAACAACCTTGAAACCTGCCACAGAGGGCCTCTGAAAGCTTCTGCAGTATAGACTGTCAAAGCAGATGCTGAGCCTGATGGCCAACTGATGGACAGAGTGAATGGAATTTTATGTAAGAAGTGGGAAATAGTAAGAGCTGGAGGGAACAGAAACTCCACAAGCAGAGCAACAGAACAAGATAATTTGAACACAGGGAACTTCCCAGAGACTCATACTCCAACCAAGGACTATTTGTGGAGATGACCTGGAACCCCTGCACAGGTGTAGCCCATGGCAGTTCAGTGTCCAAGTGGGTTCCATAGTAATGGGAAGAGGGACTGCCTCTGACATAATCTGATTGGCCTGCTCATTGATCACTTCCCCCTGAGGGGGGAGCAGCCTTACCAGGCCACAGTAGAGGACAATGCAGCCACTTTTGATGAGAACTGATAGACTAAGATCAGAAAGAAGGAGAGGAGGACCACCCCTATCAGTGGACTTGGGGAGTGGCATGCATGCAGAAAGGGGAGGGAGGGTGGGATCGGCAGGGGAGGAGGGAGGGGCTCATGGGGGATACAAAATGAATAAAGTGTAATTAATAAAAAAAATAAAAGATTTAAAAAAATTGATTAAGATTTTAAATAATTTTATGTTTCCATTCGATATAAAGAAAAATCTAAAATAATAATTTTCTTTGGAAAGGAACACACACACACACACACACACACAACACTGATAAATCTGAATAATATTCCTTGTATGTATGTTTCCATTGAAGGCATAGAACAACCATTTGGTGTTCTTTTCCCTGGGGAAAACTATTCTCCTACTCTCACTAATACCTACTTGCCTATAGTCCTTTGAGTAATTTTAGAGTTGGACTTACTCAACTACCTTGTCATATCTTTTGTTATGTGTTTTTCTTATATTATTAACTTCATTTCATAAATTGATGGGTTTATGAAAAAAATTGGTAAGATGATACAGTGAATTTCACGATTATATCAAATGTTTTACAGGAAAACATCTATAGTATTTCCTATAGAGAGGCTCACTGGGCATATAATATGAGGTGATTTTTGTAATAAAATTTTGTGTATATAAAATACAGGAAACATATGAATTACAACAATTAGTTCAATATAGTCCTTGCTGCTACCATGACATTGCTGACTACAAAATGACAAATGAAGAAAAAAAAAAGCATGTACTGAACTATGTATTGTAGCATTACTATGTATTTATATTAAAATTTTTTAGTTGTTTTTTTGGTTACTAACCCTGTGAACAGCTTGGAGTGACCATGGACTTCACACTGTATTCCCTGGTGCAGGATGTATGGCCCTGCTGTTTATGAATGTCATCACCATGCTACATGAGGAGCACTTCCTCAAGAACATTGGGTGAGTAACAGACCAGGGAATTGGATTTAGAGAAGGGCCAGGAATTAAATCTCAACTAATGAACTTTATTTAGTCAGTGAGAACCATGATGAGAGTGCCATTGATAACAGTAAACTCATTTGCTATTGTATTGCTCTTGTTATTAGACAGATCATCATTGGGAAGTCAGTGACTCAGAGAAAGAGGTAGGTACACTCTGAAAAGTCATTGTTTCTGTTGTGACTGGAGTATTCATGTTTCAAAAGGCTCATCTTACAGTTAACAATAAAACAAGAGTTTCTACTTAAAAAAAACATTTTATTTTTTTTAATGAAACAAATGATACCATGAAAAAACAAGAGGAGAGAAGAAAAATATACAACGAAATACTACTCAGCAATTAAAAACAAGGAAATCATGAAATTTGCAGGCAAATGGTAGGATCTAGAAAAGATCATCATGAGCTTTCCCAGAAGCAGAAAAGACACATAAAGTATATACTCACTTATAAGTGGTTACTAGACTTATAAGATAGGATAAACATACATAAATTTGTAGACTTAATGAAGATAAACAAGAAAGACGACCCAGGGTAAGATGATCAATCCTCACTTAGAAAGACAAACAGGATGGACATTGGAAGTAGGAGAAAACAAGAAATAGGACAGGAGCCTACCACAGAGGGCCTCTGAAAGACTCTACCTAGCAGTGTATCAAAGCAGATGCTGAGACTCATAACCAAACCTTGGGCAGAGTGCAGGGAATCATATGAAAGAAGGGAGAGTTAGTATGACCTGGAGAGGACAGGAGATCTACAAGGACCAAATTTATCTGGGCACAGGGGTCTTTTCTGAATTTGGTTCTCCAACCAAAGACCATTTATGGAGAGAACCTAGAACCCCTGCTCAGTCGTAGCCCATGGCAGCTCAGTATCCAAGTGGGTTCCCTAGTAAGGGAAAGAGGGACTATTTCTAACATGAACTCAATGGCTGGCTCTTTGACCTCTCCATCCCCTCCAACGTAGGAGCAGCCTTGCTAGGCGACAGAGGAGGACATTGCAGCCAATTCTGAAGAGACCTGATAAGCTAGGGTCAGATGGAAGGGGAGGAGGACTTCCCCTAGCAGTGGATGTGGAAAGGGCCAGGGAGGAGATGAAGGAGGGAGGGTGGGACTGGGAGGGAATTAGGGAGGGGGGCTACAGCTGGGATACAAAGTACATAAACTGTAACTAATATAAAAAATAAAATTTTAATTTAAAGAAAGAAGAAAATATATATAATTTGGGAAAGTAGAAGGAAAAACATGATAAAATATACTCAAAAAAATCTACTTGTAATAAATTGAACACTGCCTTGAGCCAACCTCTAAAAAATAAAGTATTAATTTCATAGTATATTTAGAACCAATAAATTAATGTGACAAAAATTCTACATTACCTTAAAATAAGCATGGTTTGGCCCTACATTGTGAAGAATGGCTTTCCTCCAATTAGTTAAACCTTGAGAACTATTACTGAATATTATTCTTGGCTCTAAAATCTTGACTCTAGTGTGACCAACCTGATAATGAAAAAAAAAAAGGAGAAATTATTAAAAAAAATAACAGAAATAAATACAAACAAATAATATGTACCTGCTCCACCATATATGTGTGTATATATTTATGTGCATATATATATATATTTAAACCTATAAATATATAATGTAATAATTGTTCTAGTATATCATGCTCATAACTTGAAAAGGTCTTAATATAAACAAAGAAATGAAGCCAATCTTCCTCATTGGTAAAATGAGGAAAGTAATGAAAGAAATGACAAGAATACACCCTGTCCCATATCAGGAAATTCAGCTTGGAGAATTTTTAAATATAACATGTTAATAGATTTTGATAAATACTTAAGACAAACAAAATCAAAATATAATGACTAACAGTAACTTCCTCAAAGTGATGGTGGAAAACAATTTACTGCTTGAATGCTTTGCCATTATGTGTGAAACCCCGGGTGTGATACTCAGCTACAACACACACACACACACACACACACAAATGGGGTCCATAACTGTAAAATGTTGAGAATATCCCTATGACAGAAGTGATCCCTAGACTAAGAAACATACTTAATGTACTAATTATTGAAACGCTATTAAGTGCATACAGTGTATATTTGTGTGCTATTAAACAGAATTCAAAGGTCATCTATTGAGAAAATGTTGTTTAAAATGAAATCACCCATAAGCCATCTTCATTTCTCTTAATAGGCAGTTACCTTGACCTACATGAGAATGAGGACATAGCTTGCTTAGACTGATAGAATTACACAGACACAGAGATTTGCCTCTTCGTTCCAAGAAAAACAAATCATAGAACAAATAAATCAAAGAAACTATTGTCAAATGTGGCCATTCTGCATGTATATAGTAATAAAGTAAAGTAACAAGGCATCAAGAATAAGCAATGCATTGTGTCCAATATTTTGGGGTGAGTGCATTTTACACTAGACATTGATGCTGTTATTATATTGTTATTATATTAGGCTTTAATATGTTCTTACAATTATTTGTAAAAGTTTTTAACTGGAATAATAAACTTTCAAACTAAGTTAAAAAGAAAAAGATAAAAGTAAATGAGTTTTTATAAATATATGATAATCCTTAATTAACATTGTATTTAAACATTTTATGTTCTTCCGTCCTGATTTCTTCAGAATTAACATTAAAGATTCCAAAGCTTTACCTGAAATGATACAATTTACTATTGAGTAATCTCAGTTATTTCCTTCTCTAATTCACTATTTAATTAACCCACTTTTTTTTCATTTCATAATTTAGTTATTTCATTCTTATTAAATCATGGCGTAGGGAACAGTAAAAACATTTCATTAAAGCCTGTGGAGGCAATTTGGATCTGGAATAAAATTACAACTAAGCCAATTCTTGCATTTGTTACCTTATATTAGTTACTTCAGCATCATGGCCTACCAATTCTTCATCTATTAAATTGTATTATATATAATATATATGAATATATACATTAAATGTCTCAGAATTTTTTAGGGATGAGCTAATAAATGCCACTTAGCCTGGCACTTGACATACAGTAACTACTCAGTAAGTAGTAAATATCATTGATGCTTAAATTAACTTCCTCATTTTTATATGTTAGTGAAAAATAAACATAGGTTGTGTATCTGAGAAAAAAGTACATTATTAAACTTGCGAGACACAATTATATAAGCATTAGATAAATACTGTGCATATGCTTACTGACAGTTGAAACAATGAAAATTAGGCATGTTGGCTAAACACTTGAAATGCATATCCTTAACAGCCATGCAAATAGTAAGTGACAGTACAGTCACATTAAAAGGGTATTTTTAAAGAGAGAAATGAATTATCTATAAGCATATACATCAGCATACACTAGTATTAAAAACCTAATTATAACAGGAAGTTATACATATAATGACGCAGTTTGATTGTTTGGATATATGTTTTAAGCCACAGTTAATTTTCTCATATGTAAGGAAAGTGATAACCTTGAGTGAAATATGGTTATGAGAAAAGGGGCCTAGGGAAGGTTACATTAATCATCTTCTGTTTCTATATCTGGGTGATCTGTGAATAGTAACAAGTCTCTACTGTGTTCTGATACAAATTGGAATCCCTAAACTTGGAGAGTCTTTTATGTAGAAGCTACATGCACCTTCATAAATGAAATAGGTTAACTCACTATATCAGAAAATACAGATAAAATTCAGTGAAAGTACATGGATTACTTAAAATCTCACAGAATTAGCTGGGATACACAAGCAAAATGCTTTCTCAATGACCAAAATTCATATTGTTAGGGCATCTTGGTTTATAACAAGAAAGAAAGACAGATATAGATCACACATATCATTTTTATTATAAGAAATATTCTATAATAATAAAAGTCTAGTTTCCTTTTATATAAATTATGATCTTTCCCCTACTAAATTATTAACTAGTATTACAATATTAACAGTATAATATAGTGGGAAATTTTTCTCAACTCTACTGTATGTTGAATGTTAATGAAACAAGTAATTGGTAAGTGACTCCCATGATGCTTTTATGTAGTTATAGAGCCTTTCAATCTAGTGTTGTTTCCACAAAGTTGTTTCCACAAGTAGTTCTTGGATACCTGAACTACTTCTTCATTCACAGTAGGCAATTAGCTAAAATAATTATTACATGAATTCAGTTTTTATATGCATATATAAGACATCTCTATATCCAGATAATCCAGACATTCAAGATGAAAATCACATTCAAGAGAAATAATTACATGTGCAGTACACGTCAATGTCAAAGTATTTCCTCCAGAAACTTGAAGAATAAATTCTCCACTCTCTGGAGAACTAAAACTTGGATGCCAGCTGACTTCACATTCCAATGAGCAATATGGATCAACAACACCTACAGAGAGCAAGATAAAATAAGACACTTACCATGTTTTCATTATTGTTTTTGTTTTTGTTTTATAGACATTCAGGATAAGAACTGGTGTAAAAGTGTAATGTCATTATAAAACAAATTTAAACTAAATTTAAATAACAGAAATAATAAGTGAGGCATTAGTAAAGGAACACCGTTTTATAGGATTGCATCAAAATCAAAATATAAATTGTTTTTCTGGGTTGGTGAAGGAAATGTATACCAAAATATACCAATATATGAAAATCAACAAAAAAAAATGTATCATGTCAATAAACATTAGGGCTAGAGAGACACAGACAATAGAAAACCATTAGTGACACCTCAAAAAATTATCTCCTCTGATTTTCAAATAATCTGCTTTCAGAAGAAAGAATGGCTATTGTGACCTTTAACCTAGAAATTAATTTTTGATGGAACTAAAAGTAGTTAACTTATCTCTACAATTCAAATACATTGAGAGAGAATATGATATCAAAAACATTAAGTGTAAAATGTTGGACTTTGTTAAAGTCACAATTAAAAAGGAAATAATTCAGAAGAGTGCATAATGAGAGCATTAGAGATGGGGAAATCTAAAATATCCCAAGAAAAAAGAGGAAACTTCATTGAACTATGTTTAAATATTGACATAAAGAATGGATGACCTGGAAATTTGCAAGATGGCAAAATTTTGGGAGAGACATAAAAATGACATACAAAAATGATTAATTTAATTTTAAAAAGCAACCAAGCACACAACCTTATGACCACAGCCAACATCAAAATAAAATGATCTAACAGCCACTGGTCATTAATCTCTCTCAACATCAATGGACATAATTCTCCAATAAAAAGACACAGACTAACAGAATGGATGCGTAAACAAAACCCAGCAATCTGTTGCATACAAGAAACACACCTAAGTCACAAAGATAGACATTCCCTGAGGGTAAAAGGTTGGAAGATGGCTTTTCAAGCAAATGGACCTAAGAAGCAAGCAGGAGTAGCCATTCTAATATCTGAAAAAATAGACTTTCAACCAAAATTAATAAAAACAGATGGGAATGACACTTCATACTCATCAAGGGAAAATTCCACCAGGAAGACATTATAATCCTGAACACCTATGCCCCAAATACAAGAGCATCCACATTTAAAAATAAATTTGATAAAACTTAAACCACACATAGATCCCCACACATTAATAGTGGGAAACTTCAAAACCCCACTCTCAACAAAATACAGGTCAACAAATTAAGAAATTAAACAAAGAAACAATGTCTCTAACAGAGGTCATGAATAAAATGGACCTAACAGACATTACAGAAACTTACACCCAAACACAAAAGAATTTACCTTCTTCTCAGCACCTCATGGAACCTTCTCCAAAATAGACCATATAGTTGGTCACAAAGCAAGCCTCAACAGATACAAGAAGACTGAAATAATCCCTTGTATCCTGTCTGATCACCATGGAATAAAGCTGGACTTCAACAACAACAGAAATAGCAAAAAGCCTACACACACATGGAAACTGAACAACTTGCTACTAAATGACAATGACAGCTGGGTCAGAGAAGAAATAAAGAAAGAAATTAAAGACTTCCTAGAACTCAATGAAAATGAAGACACGACATACCCAAACTTGTGAAACACAATGAAAGCAGTGCTAAGAGGAAAGTTCATAGCCCTAAGTGCCTTCAAGAAGAAATTAGAGACAGTTCATTCAAGCAACTTAATGGCTCACTTAAAAACCCTAGAAAAAGAAGAAGCAGACACACAAAAAAGGAGTAGACAGCTGGAAATAATCAAACTCAGGGCTGAAATCAATCAATTAGAAACAAATAAAACAATTCAAAGAATCAATGAAACAAAAAGCTGGTTCTTTGAGAAAATCAACAAGATCGACAAACCCTTAGCCAAGCTAAATAAAAGTCAAAGGGACACCATCCAAATCAACAAAATCAAAAATAAAAAGGGGGACATAACTACAGAAACTGAGGAAATCCAAACAATCATTAGGACTTACTTCAAAAGTCTATATTCCACAAAATTTGAAAATCTAAGTGAAATGGACAATTTTCTTGAATGAATCGACTTACCAAAGCTGAATCAGGACAAGGTAAATCAATTAAACAATCCTATATCCCCCAAGGAAATAGAAGTGGTCATCAAAAGTCTCCCATCCAAAAAAAAACCCAGGACCAGATGGTTTCAGTGCAGAATTCTACCAGACCTTCAAAGAAGGGCTAACTACAATTCTCTTCAAACTATTCGACAAAATAGAAACAGAAGAAACATTACCAAACTCATTGTATGAAGCCATAGTCACCTTGGTACCTAAACCTCAAAAAGACCCAACAAAGAAAATTTCAGGCCAATCTCCCTTATGAACATTGATGCAAAAATACTCAACAAAATACTTGCAAACTGAATACAAGAACACATCAAAGATATCATCCACTATGACCAAGTAGGGTTCATCCCCCGTATGCAGGGGTGGTTCAATATATGGAAATCCATCAATGTGATCCACCATATTAACAAACTGAAAGAAAATAATACATGATAATCTCCCTAGATGTTGAAAAAGCATTTGACAAAATCCAACATCCATTCATGTGTAAAGTACTGGAGAGATCAGGGATACAAGGCACATATCTAAACATAGTAAAGGCAATATACACCAAGTCTATAGCCAATATCAAACTGAACAGAGAGAAACTTAAAGCAATCCCACTGAAATCAGGGACAAGACAAGACTGCCCAATCTCTCCATATCTCTTCAACATAGTGCTGGAAGTCCTTGCTAGAGCAATAAGACAGTTGAAGGAGATCAAGGGGATACAAATTGGAAAGGAAGAAGTAAAATTATCACTATTTGCAGATAATATGATAGTATACCTGAGTGATCCCAAAAACTCTACCAGGGAACTCCTACAGCTGATAAACACCTTCAGCAAAGTGGCCGGATACAAAATTAATTCAAAAAAAATCAGTAGCCCTCCTGTATACAAAAGACAAAAGGGCTGAGAAAGAAATTAGGGAAACAACACCCTTCACAATAGCCACAAATGACATAAAGTACCTTGGTGTAACCCTACCCAAGCAAGTCAAAGATTTGTATGAAAAAAAATTAAGTCTCTGAAGAAAGAATTAGAAGAAGATATCTGAAAATGGAAAGATCTCCCATGCTCATGGCTTGGTAGGATTAACATAGTAAAAATGGTCATATTACCAAAAGCAACCTACAAATTCAATGGAATTCCCATCAAATTACCAACACATTTCTTTACAGACCTGGAAAGAAAAATTCTCAACTTCATATGGAACAAAAAGAAACCCAGAATTGCTAAAACAATTTTCTACAGTAAAAGATCTTCAGGAAGTATCTCCATGCCTGATCTTAAGTTGTACTATAGAGCAACAGTAATAAAAACTGCGTGGTACTGGTATAGAAACAGAATAGTGGATCAATGTAACCAAACAGAAGACTCAGAAATAAACCCACACACTTATGGACACCTGATCTTTGACAAAGATGCCAAAACCATACAATGAAAAAAAGATAGCATCTTCAACAAATGGTGCTGGTCTAACTGGATGTCTACATGTAGAAAAATGCAAACAGATCCATACTTATCACCCTGCACAAAACTAAAGTCCAAGTGAATCAAAGACCTCAAAATAAAACCAGACACATTACATTGGTTAGAAGAAGTGAGAAATACCCTAGAACTCATTGGTACAGGAGACAACTTCCTGTACAGAACACCAACAGCACAGGCTCTAAGAGCAACAATCAATAAATGGGACCTCATGAAACTGAAAAGCTTCTGGAAAGCAAAGGACACCATCATCAAAACAAAATGACTGCCTACAGATTGGGAAAGAATCTTCACCAACCCTTTATCTTACAGAGGGCTAATAGCCAGTATATACAAAGAACTAAAGAACCTGAAAAGCAGCAAACCAAGTAATCCAATTTAAAAAAATGGGGAACAGAGCTTAACAGAGAACTCTCTGTAGAGGAATATCGAATGGCAGAAAAACACTTAAAGAAATGATCAAAGTCATTAGCCATTAGGGAAATGCAAATCAAAACAACTCTGAGACTTCACCTTACACCCATCAGAATGGCTAAGATAGAAAACTCAAGTGACAACACATGCTGGAGAGGTTGTGGAGAAAGGGGAACCCTCCTCTACTGCTGGTGGAATGTAAACTTGTACAATCACGCTGGAAATCAATCTGGCACTTTCTCAGACAACTAGGAATAGCACTTCCTCAAGATCCAGCCATACCACTAATAGGCTTATATCCAAAAGAGGGTCAAGTACACAATAAAGACATTTGCTCAACCATCTTTGTAGCAGCTTTATTTGTAATAGCCAGAAGGTGGAAACAGCCCAGAAGATGCTCAACTGAAGAATTGATGCATAAATTGTGGTACATCTATACAATGGAATATTACTATGCAATGAAAAATAAGGAAATCATGAAATTTTTAGGCAAATGGTGGGACCTAGAAAAGATCATCCTGAGTGAGCTGTCCCAGAAGCAGAAAAACACACACGGTATATACTCACTCATATAAACATATAACATAGGATAACCCTAGTAAAATCTGTACATCTAAAGTAACTAATCAAGAGAGAGGACCCTGATTAAAATGCTCAATTCCTATCCTAAAAGACAAAGAGGATGGACATCAGAAGAAGAATAAAATAAGAAACAACCTCGAAACCTGCCACAGAGGGCCTCTGAAAGGCTCTTCTCTACAGACTATCAAAGCAGATGCTGGGACTTATGGCCAACTGTTGGGCAGAGTGCATGGAATCTTATGTAAGAAGTGAGAAATAGTAAGAGCTGGAAAGGACGGAAACCACACAAGGAGAGCAACAGAACCAGAAAATTTGAACACAGGGGTCTTCCCAGAGACTCATACTCCAACCAATTACCAGGCATAGAGATAACCTAGAACCCCTACACAGATGTAACACATGACAGTTCAGTGTCCAAGTTAGTTACATAGTAACAGGAAGATGGACTGCCTCTGACATAATCTGATTGGCCTGCTCTTTGATCACCTCCCCCTGAGGGGGAAGCAGCCTTACCAGGCCACAGAAGATGACAATGCATCCACTCTTGATGTGATCTGATAGACTAAGATCAGAAGGAAGGAGAAGAGTTCCTCCCCTATCAGTGGACGTGAGGAGGGGCATGCATGAAGTAGGGGGAGGGATGGTGGAACCTGGAGGGGAGGTGGGAGTTATTCTAATGACATTTAGATATATGCCTTAAATCTTTTTTTAAACTAAAGCCATTTATATTTTTAAGTTTATAGAAATGGCTCTGGAAAGATTCACATTAAAACTTTTATCACTAATTCTGGGCTAAAGAAATGCATTGGTGAATGGGGCATTCCTTTTGTATTTGGGATAGTGTTCTTTTTTTAAACTCAAACCTATTCCAGCATTTATTTATTGTGTGTGCATACTTGTGGGAAAGAGGTGGTCAGAGGAGAACTTGCCTTACTCAGTTCTCTTCATCACAACATGAGTCCTGAGATTAAACTCAGATCATCAAGCTTGGCAGTAAGTGCCTTCACTGACCAAGCCTTCTCACCAGCCCCAAACTCAAGTTTAAATTTGCTTTCCTTTGAATAAACTTTATATCTACTAATTTCATTTAGTTTTCATATTTGAAACAAAACATATGTCAAAACTTGACATATGCATATCAAAGGATAACTGTACATTTTAATATTTATAAGAACTTGGGGTTTCATAGGAAACTGATGTTTGGAAAACATTCTTATCACTACAGGTTACAGTCCATGATGGTTGAGCAAAGGCAGGTATGTCTGAGAACTCCCATCTTGACTCATAAGCAGAAGGCCAAGAGAGCCCACTGAGAACAGAAGAAGGTTTTTCCAATCCTCCAAGCCAACTTCTGGTGACACACCTCTTCCAAGTTAGAAGGCCATGCCTTCTAACACTTCCCAAGTAGGTCCACCAACAAGGAACCTAGTATTCGAACAAATTGCACATATGGAGTCTATTCTCATTCAAACCACCACAATAACAAAATCTACATACACTGACGTTTTGATTATATGTTTGTTATTTCTGAGATACAAAACGCCTGGGGGTGTTGGAGAGATGGCTCAGCAGATAAGATGAGCAATTCATGAGAAGCAAGCCAAGAAGCAAGCCATGTTCTTCATTTCAGTTCCTGCTTCTAGGTTCCTGGCCAAGATCCTCCACTTACTTCCCTCCCTGATGTTCTCTAAACAGTAAAATAAAATAAACCCCCTTCTACCCCCCCCAAAAAAATAGGTCATATAATATGCTAATTTGATGTAGTTTATATGGCATGAAAGTGTTTTAATTTTCTAATTTATTTATTTCAGTTTATTCACTTTGTATCCCTGCTACAAACCCCTCCCTCGTCTCCTCCAAGCACAAACACCCTCCCTCTTCTCCCACTATGTCCCTTCCCTAGTCCACTGATAGGGGAAGAACTCCTCCCCTTCTATCTGATCCTAGCCTATAAGGTCTCATCAAGACTGGCTGCATATTCCTGGCAAGGTTCACCTCCCCCTAGGAGGAGGTGATCAAAGAGCCAGCCACTGAGTTCATGTCAGAGACAGCCCCTGTACCCATTACTCTGGAATACTTGGAAACTGAGCAGCTTAAGGGCTTTTTCTCAGCAGGGGGTCTAGATCATCTTTTCATGCATAATCCTTTGTTGGAGTATCAGTTGCTGCAGGGCCCAGGATTTTTGGCTCTGTTGGTCTCTTTGTGCAGTTCCTGTCCCCTCCAGGTCTTTCTGTCTCCCTCTTCATCCATAAGATTTCCCGCAGTCTGCCCCAAAATTTGGCTATGAGTCTCAGTATCTTCTTTTTTTTATTCTTTATTAATTACACTTTATTCACTTTGTATCCCCCCTGTGGTTCCCTCTCTCCTCCTGTTCCAATCCCTCCTTTCCTCCACCCTCTGCATGCATGCTCCTCCCCAAGTCCACTGATATGGGAGGTTCTTCTTTTCCTTCCTTCTGATCCTACTCAATTAGGTCTCATCAGGAGTGGCTGCATTGTCTTCTTTTGTGGACTGGTAATGCTGCTTCCCCCTCAGGGGGAGGTAATTAAAAAGCAGGTCAATCAATTCATATCAAAGACAGTCCCTGTTCCCATTACAATGGAACCCACTTGGATACTGAACTGCCATGTGCTACATCTGTGCAGGGTTCTTGGCGCTTCGTCAAGATCCAGCTATACCACTCTTAGGCATATACCCAAAAGAATCTCAAGTACACAATAAGGACATTTGCTCAACCATCTTTGTAGCAGCCTTATTTGTAATAGCCAGAAGCTGGAAACAGCTCAGATGCCCTTCAGTGGAGGAATGGATGCACAAATTGTGGTATATCTACACAATGGAATATTACTCAGCAATAAAAAACAAGGAAATCATGAAATTTCCAGGTAAATGGTGGGACCTGGAAAGGATCATTTTGAGTGAGCTATCTCAGAAGCAGAAAGATGCACACGGTATATACTCACTCATATAGACATATAATATAGGATAAACCTACTAAAATCTGTACACCTAAAGAAACTAATGAAAAGGGAGGACTCTTGCTAAAATGCTCAATTCCTATCCAGAAAGGCAAAGAGGATGGACATCAGAAGAAGGAGAAAAGAGGGAACAAGTCAGGAGCCTGACAAAGAGGACCTCTGAAAGGCTCTGCCCTGCAGACTATCAAAGCAGATCCTGAGACTTAAGGGCAACTTTTGGGCAGAGTGCAGGGAATCTTATGAAAGAACTGGGAAACAGTAAGATCTGGAGAGGACAGGAACTCCACAAGGAAAGCAACAAAACCAAAAAATCTGAGCCCAGGGGTCTTTCCTAAAACTGATACTCAGTATCTTCTTATATACCCTGACGGGTAAAGTCTTTCAGGGGCCCCATGTGGAAGGCTCTTGTCCTGTTCCCTCTCTTCTCCTACTTCCAATGTCTATCCTGTTTGCCCTTCTGAGAGAGGTTTCAGTCTCTTCCCTAGGGTCCTCTTTGTTGTTTGGCTTCTTAGGGCTATAGATTTTAGTATGTTTATCCTATATTATATGGTTAATATCCACTTATAAGTGATTATACACCATATGTGTCTTTCTGCTTCTGGGTTATCTCACTAGAAAAGATCATCCTGAGTGAGGTATGAAAGTTTTTATAAGCAAATGCATATTCAGATTATATTTACTAATGCAAGTGTATCTTACTCAATAATTTGAGAGGTTTAAAGTACTTAGATATCCTAAAATGAATAATGCCTTTGGTCTAAACACTATACCATCACTTTTTCTTTGTGTTTGTAACCCCCCCCATCTTGCCTTTTAAACTTCATACTTGTTAAGTGATGCAGTTAACCAAGAAATTATTTTTTTTATTTATTACAATTTATTCACTTTGTATCCCCACTGTAGCCCCCCTAGTCTCCTCTTGGTCCCACCCACTCTCCCTCTTCTCCCCCTGTGCCCATTCTCTAATCCACTGATAGGATAGGTCTTCGTTCCCTTCTCTGGGAACCCAGCTTATTAGGTCTTATCAGGACAGGCTGCTTTAAACTTATATCTCCATATCTATCTCTCACTATGTGTTTCTACGAGAATCTCATAACATGATCCTTACTTTCAAGTCCTATTTAGACATATGAGAATAAATATGCTTGATGATATATTGTAGTTTATGTCTATGCTCTTTACATAAGTACAAAGAACATGCTCAATAAATAATTAATGCCTAAATACATTATTGAATGAACTAATTTCTAAATAAAACAAAACAAAAGAAAAAAACTATTACCTTTGGCTGGACAAATAGTAAATGCAGTTCCTCTCAGTGCACTTTCTGGTTGCCACCCAAACTGGGCAGGGAGATTCAGATGATTATAGAGTCTAATTGTTCCCCGAAAACATGTTTCCAACAAGAAAGTTTGTGGTCTCAATACAATCTCATTAGAAGACAGCTCAAGTTTTGGAGGCATGATGACAGCCGACACTAGGATATGTCCACCCTTTACGTTGTTAATTCTAAATGTGAATGATCTGTAACAAAGTAGAAACTCCAATATTTAACTAAAAGCATATCTATTTGTAATTATGCATTTATTTATGATTATAGAATTCAGATACATATAAAATATATATGGTATAAGGTATGATGCATAGTTATTTCTGAAAATATAGGAGGAAATTAGATTATCATTGAAGTATATGAAAATACAAGTGTACAAAATGATGTAAAAATATACTTTCTAGGACGAACAAAGATGGCGGTAGTTAGTGTGCACCTTAGCTGAGGGGCAAAGGACCTGCATCGTCAAAACTGGTGAGTGAAGGGGCTGATCAACCCAGAACAGTGTTATCTAGACTTCCAGGAAGAAAGAGACTAACCATGAACTGAGTTCATGTAGAATCAGGTCACTAGCAGACTCCTCCAGGAGGAGACACCTCAGAGGTGGATGATCCCTAGGCACTTCCATGTGTCCAACTCTTTACTCTTTCTTTAGAGGAGGCAGGAGGCAGCCAGCAGAATCACCACAGAGCACACTGTTTGTGCCCCAGCCCCAGCTACAGCTGCAGCTTCCACCAAAAAAAAAAAAAAAAAAAAAAAAAAAAAAAAAACACGAGATCTAGGGCTGAGAAAAACCAATCCTTTCGGGTACTTCCCCGAGAACTCCACCATAAACCTGCCCTGGTGTTGTGGAAGGATAGAGAGGCACACAGCCACAGCAGGTTCACAGCACCAGGACCCCAGTGCTGGCAGCTGCACCTAGCAAACCAACCTCAGCTCCGGATCTGGGACTGCAGTCACTCAACACATCATGATACCCTCCCAGGTCCAGCGCAATAAGGTCTAGCACCAAGTTCTAGCACCGGCAGCCCCTGGCAGAAAAAACTTCCGCTCAGGATCGGGAACTGAGAATTCCCAACACCTCCTCAAACACCGCTGAGAATGCCGCTGCCATAAGCTTGCCCTAGCGGAAGGGAAGGAGAGGGAAGGGAAAGAGAGAGAGGCAGCCTGTTGATGTTGCCACAAGCCACAGCACCTCTGCTCCAGTGCACCCAGCAGCCCCTGGCAGAGAAACCTGAGTTCTGAATCTGAGGACACTCAACCCTATTTGGTACTCTCCCAGAACCAGCCGACATATGCACTAGCACCAGGTGGATTCTGCCAAAGAGATCTGGGCCCTGGATCTGAGATTGAGGACACTCAACCCAACTCTATCCGGTGCTACCCCGGGACCAGCCACCATAAACCTTCCCTGGCTGAAGGGAAGGTCAGAGAGGTGGCACACAGTGCAGGTGGACACCAAGTCCTGCTGCTACAGTGCCACTGAGCTGACTGTTAGCCTACACCCACATTTGCCCCAGAAGGATCAAATTGGAGAATAGAGAGCAAGAGGAACCCCTATGCATTCCAAATGGTCCTGCAAGGGAGTGAGTGTGCCTTCAAGGGAGTGTTTGCCCCAGACCCAGGGCCTCTCTACGAAAGCCACCAGACAACAAATCCCTGACACCCACACTCCTAGTGTGGGCATTATAGGGTTTCTTGGGATAACGATCCCAACACTGAAGCCTCTGCCTTGCGTGACTACCAATGAAATCCAGGGAAACAATTGCTGGATCCCAGACAGAGCTGCATACTGGTGGCCTGCAGGCCACTGCAATAGTCAGGGAATCTGCACATGCACACTGTGTGGCCTAAAAGCACATCCGAATAGCACTAGCATCACATTTCTTACTCAAGTAAAACTGAATCCAAAAGGCACACTCCCAAACCAGTGAACCTCTCTCATCTTTCTGAAAAAAAAATCCAAAAAACAGAAAGAGATGATCTTAGCCTGAACTACAGACTCCAGGAACAAACAGTGAGGGTTATAGATAACCAGATGGCCAGACACAGATGTAAGAACACACCCAACAAAAATCAGGACATTATGGCTTCACCAGCAACCCCACAAATCAATGAACACTTCAATTCTCTACATATACAAGAAAACAACCTCAAAACTATGTTTCTCCAGTTGTTAGAGGCCCATAAAGATGAAATGAACAAAGCCTTCAGAGAAATGGCCACAGAAATTGAGACTAACAAGGAGGAAATAAATAAAGCTCTCAGAAAACTGACCACGAAAATTGAGGCAAAGAGTAAATGAAGAAATATCCACACAAATGAAGGCAAATAAAGAATAAATGAACAAAGCTCTCAAAGAAATACAGGCAAATACAGCCAAACAAATAGAGATACAATTAGCGATATATAGAAAGGAAACAGAAAAAAAAAATAGAAGCCATCAATGAAAAGCAGGACTCCACATTCAATCAGATGAAGGAAATGGTGCAAGACATGAAAACAGAATTAGAATCCATAAAGAAAACACAAATAGAGAAAAACCAGGAGCTGGAGAACATAGAGAAAAGATCAGGAACTACAAAGGTAAGCACTACCAACAGAATACAAGAGATGGAAGACAGAAAATCAGGTGCCGAAGATACACTTGCAGAAATTAACACATCTCTGAAATAAAAAATAAAATCAGAAAAGTTCCAAACACAAAATAGCCAAGAAATCAAGGACACCATAAAAAGACAAAATCTAAGAATAATAGGAGTAGATGAAAAAGAAGACATCAGGGTCCAAGGTCAAGAAAATATTTTCAAGAAAATTTTCCCAATTAAAAAGAAAAAAAGAGATGTCCATAAACATACAAGAGGCCTTCAGAACACCAAAAAGACTAAACCAGAAAAGAAATTCTTCACATCAACATCATAGTCAAAACACTGAACCTGCAGAACAAAGAAAAAAAATTAAAAGCAGCAGGGCAAAAGGCCAAGTAACATATGAAGGTAGACCTATCAAAATCATACCATATTTCTCAACAGAAATTATGAAAACCAGAAGGGCCTGGGCAGAAATCATGCAGTCATTAAGGGACCACAGATGCCAAACCTGACTACTATACTCAGCAAAATTTTCAATCAACATAGACGGAGAATTCAAAATATTCCAAGACAAAACCAAATTTAAACAATATCTACATAGTAACCCAGCTCTACAGAAGTTACTAGAAGGGAAACTCCAACCCAAAGAAAACAACTACATCTAAGGAAACATAAGAAATAAATAACTACACAAAAAAAAGAATGCAAGCACTAAAACACAGCAACACCACCAACCCTACATCAAAAGAAAGTAACATTAGTTGGTCACTAGCATCTATCAACATCAACGGACTCAACTGCCCCCTCCAAAAAAAACCAAAAAAAAAACAAAAAAAAAAAACCCACAAACTAACAGAATGATTATGGAAACAAAATCTAACATTCTGTTGCATCCAAGAAACACACCTATACAACAAAGATAAACACTGCCTTAGAGTAAAGGGCTGGAAAAATGTTTTTCAAGCAAATGGATTCAGAAAACAAGCTGTGGTAGCTATCCTAATATCTAAAAAAATAGAATTTCAACCAAAATTAATCAAAAAAGATAAGGAGGGGCACTATATTCTCATCAAAGGAAAGATCACCAAAAGGACATCACAATTTTGAACATCTATGCCCCAAATACAAGAGTGCCTACATTCATAAATGAAACATTATTTCGCCTTACATCACACATTGATCCTAATACCTTAATAGTGAAAAACTTCAATACCCCAATATCACCAAAGGATATATCATCTAGACAGAAACCAAATAGGGAAATAAAGGCACTTCCTAAATCAAATGGACTTAATAGACGTCTACAGATCTTTTCACCCAAACTCAAAAGAGTATACCTTCTTCTCAGCACCTCATGGAACCTTCTCCAAAATAGACCATATAGTTGGTCACAAAGAAAGCCTCAACAGATACAAGAAGACTGAAATAATCCCTTGTATTCTGTCTGACCACCATGGACTAAAGCTGGACCTCAACAACAATGGAAATAACAAAAAGCCTACACGCACATAGAAACTGAACAACTTGCTGCTCAACGACAGTTGGGTTAAGAAAGAAATAAAGAAATTAAAGACTTCCTAGAATTCAATGAAAATGAAGGCACAATACACAATACACAATACACAAATTTATGGGACACATTGAAAGCAGTGCTCAAAGGAAAATTCATAGCACTAAGTGCCTTCAAGAAGAAATTGTAACATCACATACAAGCAACTTAATGGCCCAACGGAAAACCCTAGAAATAAAAAAGAAGCAGATACACAGAAGATGAGCAGACAGCTGGAAATAATCAAACACAGGGCTGAAGTTAATCAATTAGAAACAAATAAAACTATTCAAAGATTCAATGAAACCAAGAGCTGGTTGTTTGAGAAAATCAACAAGATAGACAAACGTTCGCCAAACTAACTAAAAAAACAGAGAGAATCCATCCAAATCAGCAAAATTAGAAATGAAAAGGGAGACATAACTAAAGACAGCGAGGAAATCCAAACAATCATTAGGTCATACCACAAAAGGCTAATATGCCACAAAATTTGAAAATCTAAATAAAATGGACAATTTTCTTGATAAATTCCATCTACCAAAATTGAGTCAAGATCAGGTAGAAAGACTGAATAGCCCTATATCCCCGAAAGAAATTGAAGCAGACATTAACAGTCTACCCTTCAAAAAAAAAGCCTTGGGCCAGATAGTTTCAGCTCAGAATTCTACTAGACATACAAAGAAGTGCTAACTCCAATTCTCTTCAAACTATTCGACAAAATAGAAACATTACTAAACTCAATCTATGAAGCCAAGGTCACCTTGATTCCTAAACCACACAAAGACCCAACAAAAAAAGAGAGCTTCAGACCTAGCTCTCTTATGAACATTGATACAAAAGTACTCAATAAAATACTGGCAAACCAAATCCAAGAATACATCAAAGTTATAATCTACCATGGCCAAGTAGGCTTCATCCCAGGCATGCAAGGTTGGTTCAATATACGGAAATCCATCAATGTAATCCACCACATAAACAAACTGAAGGAGAAAAACCACATGATCATCTCCTTACATGCCAAAAAAGCAGTTGACAGAGTCCAACACCCATTCATGTTTAAAGTCTTGGAGAGATCAGGGATACAAGGCACATACCTAAACATAGTAAAGGTAATATACAGCAAGCCTATAGCCAACATCAAACTCAATGGAAAGAAACTCAAACCAATCCCACTGAAATCAGGGACAAGACGAGGCTGCCCACTCTCTCCATATCTCTTCAATTTAGTACTTGAAGTCCTAGCCAGAGCAATGAGACAACAAAAGGAGATCAAGTGAATACAAATTGGAACGGAAGAGGTCAAAGTTTCACTATTCGCAGATGATATGATAGTATACATGAGCAACACCCAAAATTCAACCAGAGAACTCCTTCAGCTGATAAACACCTTCAGCAAAGTGGCTGGATACAAAATTAACTCAAAACTCAGAATCCCTCCTGTACACAAAAGACAAAAGGGCTGAGAAAGAAATTAGAGACAACACCCTTCACAATAGCCACTAATAACATAAAGTACCTTGGAGTGACTCTAACCAAACAAGTGAAAGACCTGTTTGAAAAAAAATTAAGTCTCTGAAGAAAGAAATTGAAGAAAATATCAGAAGATAGAAAAATCTCCTGTGCTCATGGATCGGTAGGATTAACATAGTAAAAATGGCTATTCTGCCAAAAGCAATCTACAGATTCAATGCAATTCCCATCAAAATACCAGCACAATTCTTCATAGAACTTGAGAGAAAAATTATCAACTTCATCTGGAGAAACAAAAAAAACCAGAATTTCCAAAACGATCCTTTACAACAACAGATCGTCTGGAAGCATCTCCCTCCCCAATCTCAAGCTGTACTACAGAGCAATAGTAATAAAAACTGCATATTAATGGCATAGGAACAGAAAGGAGGATCAATGGAACCGAATAGAAGACCCAAAAATAAACCCACATACGTATGGATATTTGATGTTTGACAAAGAAGCCAAAACCATTCAGTGGAAAAAATACAGCATCTTCAACAAATGGTGCTGGTCCAACTGGATGTCTACATGCAGAAAAATGAAAAATAGATCCATACTTATCACCCTGCACAAAACTAAAGTACAAGTGGATCAAAGATCTCAACATAAAACCGAATTCACTAAATCGGTTAGAAGAAAAAGTGAGGAAGACCCTGGAACTCATTGGAACAGGAGAAACTTTTGAACAGTACACCAACAGCACAGGCTCTAAGAGCAACAATTGATAAGTGGAATCTCATGAAACTGAAAAGCTTCTTAAAGCAAAGGACATAGACATCAAAACAAAACTACATCCTACAGACTGGGAAAGGATCTTCACCAACCCTATATCTGAAAGAGGGCTGATATCCAGAATATATAAAGAATTAAACAAGTTAAAAGGCAGCAAATCAAGCAATCTGATTAAAAAATAGGGTACAGAGATAAACAGAGAATTCTCAGTAGGGGAATACAGACTGGCAGAGAAACACTTAAAGAAATGCTCAACTTCCTTAGCCATCAGAGAGATGCAAATCAAAATGACCTGAGATTTCACCTGACACCTATCAGTATGGCTAAGATCAAAAACTCAAGTGACAACACATGCTGGAGAGGCTGTGGAGAAAGGGGAACGCTCCTCCATTGCTGGTGGGAATGCAAACTTGTACAACCACTATGGAAATCTATCTGGTGCTTTCTCAGACAATTAGGTATAGTGCTTCCACAAGATCCAGCTATACCACTCCTAGGCATATATCCAAAAGATGTTCAAGGACATTTGCTCAACCATGTTTGTAGCAGCTTTATTTGTAATAGCCAGAACCTGGAATCAACCCAGATGCCCCTCAGTTGAGGAATGGATACAGAAATTGTGGTACTTTTACACAGTGGAATACTACTCATCAATTAAAACGAGGAAATCATGAAATTTCCAGGCAAATGGTGGGACCTAGAAACAATTAGCCTGAGTGAAGCATCCCAAAAGCAGAAAGACACACATGGTATATACTCACTTATATAGTTGTATAAGATAGGATAAACATAATGAAATCTATCCACCTAAAGAAGAAAAACAAGAAAGAGGACCCAGGGTACGATGATCAATCCTCACTTAGAAAGACAAATTGGATAGACATTGGATGTAGGAGCAATCAAATAACAGGTCAGGAGCCTACCACAGAGGGCCTCTGAAAGACTCTACCTAGCAATGTATCAAAGCAGATATTAAGACTCACAACCAAATCTTCGGCAGAGTGCAGGAAAAAAAAATGGAGGGGGTAGTTAATATGACCTGGAGAGGACCGGAGTTCCACAGGACCAAATATATCTGGGCACAGGGGTCTTTTATGAGAGTGTTTCTCCAAACAAGGACCATGTATGGATGCAACCTAGAACCTCTGCTCAGATGTAGCCCTTGGTAGCTCAGTATCCAATTGATACCCTAATAAGGGGAACAGGAACTCTTTCTGACATGAACTCAATGGCAAGTTCTTTGTCCTCCTCCCCCGCCCCCCTCCCCCGAGGGATGAGCAGCCCTGTGAGGCCACAGAGGAGGACTTTGCAGCCAGTCCTGAAGACACCTGATAAACCAGTATCAGATGAAATGGGAGGAGGTTCTCTTCTATCAGTGGACTTGGAAAGGGAAAGGGAGGAGATGAGGATGGGAGGGAATGAGGAAGTGGAATACAGCAGGGATACAAAGTTAACAAATTCTAACTAATATTAAAAAATAAAAATTAATATATATATACTTTCTATAATTTGTGATAAAATATTCTATGCTACAATTACTGAAGTAAATTAATACATAGGAGAAATGATTCTAGTAAGCAGAAACTGAGAAATAACCTTACTTCCAGAATTTCCCATTGGTAGAAGATTGGAACACCATTGAAATATATGTAGTAGATGTTGGTGGGATCACATATGAAAATTGGTTGGTTTTCTGAAGTTCTTCCAAATCACTATCTAACTGGATCAATACATACATGGACAGCATATTAACAACATGAAGTTGCTGAGTATTTGTAGATTCCACACAAACATTACCAAAATTAAGTACAGATGGTCCTGAAATAATCAAAGTAAGTTATTAAAGAAAATTATTGCAAAGATGTTCCCTCATTTCCTAAGTCTTCAAATTTTGTTTTGTTTATTTAAATTATTCAAAATTAACACAAAACTAGTTAGTATAACATCACAAAATGATTTACTGTAATATCAGACATGAATAGCTCTGCTTTTACCTAAATGACCAATGTTTCATACTTAGAGATTATTGCTTCATGTTCAATGTGAATATATTCTAGTATGAAAATTTTATGGTAAAATGATAAGCACAATAAAATTCCTATCAACACTTTGATCTGCAAACTTTCACCAAAGTCTACTTCTATAAATACACTTATTTTGCTTACCTATGCATAATTCATTAAAAGAAAAATACCAGTTTTCAGGGGTTGGCTCTCTCCTGTGAGGTGGGTCTCAAGTTGGGCCAGTCATTGGTTTGCCATTCCCTCATTTTTTATCAAGGTTATTTTTTTTAATTTAGTCAATGTTCAGCCCAATTGTAGCCACCTTCCTCCTCTCTTCATGGTCCTACCATCCCTCTCTCTCCTTGCCTAACCCCTCCACTAATCCTCAGAAAGAGGGATCCCTACGTCCCTTACCATCTGACCCTAAACTATCAAGTCCCGTCAGGACTGCCTGCATCCTCATCCTTCATGGTCTGGCAAAGCTACTCTGCTAGGGAGAAGTGACTGAAGAGCAAGAAACAGAGTTTGTATCAGAGACAGGCACTGCTCCCCTTACTAGGAAACCGACATGGAGACAAAGCTACCTATTAGCTACATCTGAGCAGGGGGTCTAGGTTCTCTTCATGCATTGTCCATGGTTGGTGCCTCATTGTCTCTAGGCCAACCCTGGGCCAAGATTTTTTTGTTCTGTTGGTCTTTTTGTGGAGCTCTTGTCCCTTCTTATCCTTCTATCCCCCCACTTTTCCATAAGACTCCCTGTGCTCTGCCCCAAGTTTGGCTGTGAGTCTCAGCATCTGCTTCGATACGCTGCTGGGTGGAGTTTTTCAAAGGACCCTCTATATATAATAGGCTCCCATCCTGTTTCCTCTCTTCACCCACTTCCAGTATCTATCTATTTGCCCTTCTGAATGAGAATTAAACATCCTTCCTAGGGTCCTCCTTTTATTTAGCTAATTTAGGTCTGTGCGTTGTAACATGGTTATGCTGCATTATATAGCTAATATATGCTTAAAAGTGAGTATATACCATGAATCTCTGCTCCATCTTTATCCATATATTTCTTGTAGGTAAGACAAATTTTGGGTTGAGGGTTTTAAAGATGAACTGGTGTCCCCCTTCCTCCATGGAAGTCCTACATAGGTAGGGAACTTCATGATCACCTTAATCAGTATAGGAAGACCAAGCCTATTATGGGTGGAACCATGTATGGGTTTGAAGTTGTGGAATAAACAAGAGTAGGGAAAAGTAAGTTGAGCAATGAAGCATGTATTCATTAAATAATCTCTGCTCTTCACTGTGGATACGACTAGCTATCTTGAGCTCCTGCCACCCTGACTTCTCCACAATAATTGGCCGTGTTCTGTAATTTTGAGATAAAATAATTTTCTCTCCTAGGTTGCTTTTTCTCAAAGTATTTTAATCACAAAAACCAAAATAAAACTAGAACATATTCCCTTATGTATATGTCTTAATTGTGTTGGTTTATTGAACTGATCATTCATATTTACTTTCTAGTTATTAGCTATTTAAAAAGCAACTATATATATTTGATAGCAACAGTGATTTGAGCATACAACTTCATATCTTTTGGATAAGTACTTAGGAATAAAATGAAAGAATTTTGTGGTTAGTGTCTAAATATATAAGGAGCCATAAAGCTATTTAAAACAGTTTTATCCACACTAGTAGTATACAATTTAAGAGTATCAGGTTCTTTGTTTTCCTGAGAAAAAAAATAAATAATGAGATGGTTTTGCATCATGGTTTAAGTCTAATCATGTACTAAATTTATAGTATCTTCTCATTTTGGTTTAAGTTTGTATGTCCTTAAGAACTAACAATATCTAATATGATAGTACAACAATGAAGCATGTTAATTAATTGTTTAATTTTCCAACCTATTTATTAAAATATGGTTGCTTTCTTAAGTTTTATTCCATATTCTAGTTAAAATAAATTATTGATAGTTTGTAACAGTTCATTTTAGTCAATAGATGTTTTTGCTCTCCTACTGGTATCTTTACAGAAATAATTTTGATTAATCACTGAATAATTTTTATTTATTTTATTTTATTATTTATTATATTTTTTCACTTTCTCTCACAGCTATAGCCCCTACCATCATCCCTTTCCAATCCCAGCCTCCCTCTCTCTTCTTCTCCCATTCTGCTACCCCAGTCCAAAGATAAGGGAGGTCCTCTTCCCCTTCTATCTGACAATAGCCTATCAGGTCTCATCAGCACTGGCTATATTGTCTTCCTCTGTGGCCTGGTAAGGTTGCCCCACCCAATCAGGGGAGGTGGTCAAAGAACCAGCCACTGAGATCATGTCAAAGACAGTCCCTGTTCCCCTTACTAGTCAACCAACTTGGAGACTGAGCAGCCATGGGCTACACCCATGCAGGGATTCTAGTTTATCTCCATTCACGGTCCTTGGTTGGAGTACCAGTCTTTGAAATGACCCCTAGGCCCAGATTTTTTTGATCTCTTGCTCACCTTGTGGAGTTCCTGACCCCTCCAGATCTTTCTATCTCTCTCAGCACTCTTCCCAAAATTTGGCTATGAGTTTCAGCATCTGCTTTGATACCCTACTGTGCAGAGTTTTTCAGAGGCCCTCTGTGGTAGGCTCCTGTCCTGTTCCCTGTTTTCTCCCACTTCTGATATCTATCTGGTTTGCTTATCTTGAATTCTTATATGATTTGTCAAATATGATTTTCAAAATTAAAAGATTTTAGGACTCCAATAAGGCAGCGATTAGTGTCCACCATTTCTGAAGGACAGAAGATCAGAATCTCCAAAATTGGTGACTGGATGGCCTGTTGATTCCAGAGCATTGACACTGAGGCTTCCAGTGTTAGAGAGGACAACCCCAGAGCTGGGACAGATTGGATTCAGGACCCCTGTGTCTGGGGTCTGAGAGTGGTGAACTATTGACCACCTGCATTCTCAGCTGCACTTTCACTTGCTCCAGCAATAGCATGGTGCACATAACCCCAGGTAAGGGGCCTACTTCCTCTAATGGCCAAACAAGGGACCTAAATATGAGAGTAGAAAACTGTGGACCTCCTGTGCTTTCCACACACTCCTGCAAGTGAGTGCATCTCTAAAAAAGTGTTTAAAGAGCCTCAGATCCCAGGTTCCTCATCACCAGACATCAGATCCTTCCCACTCACACCTCCACTATGGACAACAATGATGTCTTCAGGACAGCATTCTCAACATTAAAGTCCCTGTTCTGTGGGTCTCCCAATGTAGTCCAGCCAAACAATTCCTGAAAATAATTCCAGTAACAAAGATGGCCCATCCCAGACAGATCTGAATGCTTGAAGCACAATACCGCAACATGTCTGTGGATCGCTGAGACATTTAAAACATTTGTGCATGCAAACTGTACCTGCTGAGCCTGCACCACAACCTGAGCTAACACTCCTCCCTCACATTCCACCCTTTCAGGCAGGTAGACTTCCATGCACACTTCTGCATTTGCGCACATGGACCTGAGACCTTCCTCCCTTAGCTACATCTGAAACACCAACACCCACTCTTAAACCAGTAGACCTGTCTTCTTTCCCTGAAGAATAATCCAGACTCCAGAGATAGACCCAGCCTGTAATACAGGCTCCAGGAACAAACACCAAAGGCTATGGAACATCAAATGGCTACAGGCCACTGTAAGAATACATCCAACAAAAATCAGGACATTATGGCTTCACCAGCAACCACCAAAAACAATAGATATTTTATTTCATCAGAAAAAAGGAAAATTATTTTAAATCTATGATTATTCAGTTATTAGAAGCACATAAAGAGGAAATAAACAAAACTCTCAAAAAAATAAAGACAAATATGGCCACATAAATAGAGGCACATGAAGAGGAAACAAGCAAAAAAATTGATGCCATCATGGAAAGATAGGTATCCACATTCAAACACATCAAGTAAATGGTGCAAGAAATGAGAACAGAATTAGAATCAATAAAGACAACACAAACAGAGAAAGTCTTGGAGCTGGAGAAATTAGAGAAGGGATCAGGATGCACAAAGGTAAAACCTCACAAACAGAATATAAGGGATAGAAGAGAGAATATAAGGCACAAAAGATACAAATGCAGAAATTGATACTTCTGTCATAGAAAAAATAAAATCAGAAAAGTCCCAATCACAAAACATCAAGGACACCATGAAAAGACAAAATCTAGGAATAATAGAAATAGATGAAAAAGAAGATTCCAGGCTCCAGGGTCCAGATAATAATGTCAAGAAAATCAGAGAAGAACATTTTCCCATCTTAAAAGAGATGTCTTTATACATACAAGAGGCTTGCAGAATACCAATAGACTAGACCAGAAAAGAAACTCCTCACATCACATAATTGTCAAAACACTAAATCTATATAAAACAAAACAAAACAAAAACATTAAAAACATCGAGGCAGAAAGGTCAAGTAACTTACAAAGGTTGACCTATCAAAATCACCCCAGACTTTTCAACAGAGACTATGAAAAACCAGAAGGGCCTGGGCAGATGTCATGCAGACTCTAAGAGAACACAGACATCAAACCAGAATAGTATACCCAGCAAAGATTTTAATCAAGATAGATGGAGAAAACAAGATATTCCATGACAAAACTAAACTTAAACAGTATCACCACAGCAACCCAGCCCTACTACAATCTAACAAAATTAACTACACCAAAGAATACATAGTACATAGATAATTAAACAACAAAAAAATCAAAAGAAAACAAGCACACAAACACACAATCACCAACAAATCCATAATAAAAGGAAATAACATTCTTTTGTCACTATTATC